CTTCCAGTCTATCGTCTCCTCTATTTCCAACGAATCTCACAATCACACAGATTAATACCACTATAGATTTTTAATTTTCTTTTTTTTAAGATTTTATATATTTATTAGAGAGAGACAGAGAGAGAGAGAGAGAGAGAGAGAGAGAGCATGAGCAGCGGGGAGGGGCAGAGGGAGAGGGAGAAGCACACTCCCCGCTGAGCCAGGAGCCCTATGCGGGGCTGGATCCCAGGACCCTGAGAACATGACATGAGCCAAAGACAGATGCTTAACTGACTGAGATACCCAGGTGCCCCAGATTTTTAATTTTCACCTTCAGCTGCTCAGCATTGTTTACCTATCTCCAGCAGTTTCTGCAAGTTTCCCACAGATACTATTTGAAAACTTCAAAATCCTAAAACCCCTTATACTTTCCACAGCAGACCCCCTTCCTCTGATAGCAGATGATTTCACCTATTCTTACCTCTGTCCCTTCCCTCTGCCTACACTCTAGATCCATCCCAGTCCCTCATTCCTCAGGAAACTCACAATATCTTTTCATTATTTCTATCCATCTGGCTGCCCACATCAATAACTGGCATCACCATTTTCACTTCTCATTCTCACACCCTTTACAGTCCATCAGGTCTCCTTTATTCTCTCAAGTTCATGCACTTCTCTTTCTTCATGTCCAGACCTACCTTACTTGTTATCAACACTGCCGGGGTTACCTTAGAAGTCTCTGAACTGATCCCTCTGCTGCTGTTCTTGCTTTGCCTGCTCCCTGTCCCTCTCCTCAGTCCATCCTAAACTGTTACTTAGGTGATTCTTTTCCAAATGTACATATGATCTTTTCATATCTAAAGTCCTTTGATGTCTCTCTGAAGACTCATCCATCTGTAGCCTAATACTGAACCACTTACTCAAGCCGTGCCTCATATTTTGTGTTTCTGCAGTGTTGAATTACTAGTGTTTTTTGTATTCACTGTTGTTTCATTTCTGTATGCCTTTGGACATGTCCTTTTCCCTGCAAGGCATATCCCTAAGTTGGGATATAACTTCTTTTTATCCTTGAAAATTCTGCTCAGGTGTTACCTCCTTTAGGAACCCTTCCATGATCCCTCTTCTTTCTGTCACCCCCAATAGAATTATTTCTTTCCTTGTACTACTTCTGTTCCAGGTATATACTTCTAACTACTACCCTTATTTTATTAGTTCATAGCTTTAAAAAAAAAAATACTATTTCAGAGACAGAGCATGAGCAGGAGGAGGGGCAGACGGAGAGAGAGAATCACAAGCAGGCTCCCCACAGAGCACAGAGCCCAGACCAGGGGCTTGATCTCACCGCCCTGAGATCATGACCTGAGCCAGACACTTAACCGACTGAGCCACCCAGCGCCCCTAGTTTATCGGTACTCTCAAGACTATCATTCTTTTCTTGCTGATTTTTCCTCATACTGTCTTATTTCAGTTTGTCTTTGTATCCTCAGTGCCTGGCACCTAAGAAGCATAGATCTTCAAAACTTTTTTTCTGAAATGAGCTGAATAGGACCAAGTCTCTGTTACGGTTTTCTAATGAATTGCTCTAATGATTATATGAGTGTGTGCGTCTGTGTGTATGTATCCTCCATAAAATGCTTTGTAAATGTTTGTGGAATAAGTGAATGAGAGGCAGACTACTGGCAGGAGGCTAGTAAGGAGATCATTTGGTAAACACTAGATAATGCTGTCTCTTCAGCTTTTCCCAACTCCCCAGGCTTTCAGTAGCACCACCCAGGCACACACACGCCATGGGAGTGACTTCATCAGAACAATCAGCTTAATGAATTGGAATTGTCTGTTTGTGAACCTGCACCCTCACTAGACAGTATATTTCATGAGAGCAGGTAATCAGTTTGTGTGTGTTATGTGTGCTCATACAGGGTTTTATTAACTAAAAGGAAGGTACTGTGAAGGTCAAGTCAAATAAGATATGAAAATATAATGGTAACAAAAACCTCTACTTACAATTAATAAAAGACTCATTTAACTGTGAATTATCCTTCTAGTTGGGATTCCTATTTCCACTCTTGCTTTTCCTGAATCCATTCTCCAAATCTTTTTTAAACCAAAGTAAATATTTAATTAGAGAGAAGCAACATAATGGCATCCAGTTACAAATTTTAAAAAGCTGACGAGTACCAGCTATTAAAACAATCCATAAAAGTATTTTAATTAACTGCCTGAACCATCCCTATTTTTCCCTGTATTTTTACTTTTATGTATTTTGATTGCCTTTTCATTTGACAATTTTGTAATGCATTTCCTTTGAGAGTAAATAGTTTGGTATTTTCTCCAGCATAGTTAATAAAAATTTATTTTTTATTATTGAAAATTTAGAAAAGTTAATTTCAATAAAAACTTTAGTCATGTCAGTTTTTAGTATTACTAAGTTTGGGGAAACCTGTTGAGTTTCTTATGTGAGCTCAATGATTTTGGAGCATTTTAAGTTTTTCCTGATCAGTGTGATTAACCTTAAATATTCTTTTTTTTTTTTTAAAGATTTTTCATTTATTTATTTGAGACAGAGAGAACGAGAGAGAGAGCACATGAGAGGGGGGAGGGTCAGAGGGAGAAGCAGGTTCCTTGCTGAGCAGGGAGCCCGATGCGGGACTCGATCCAGGGACTCCAGGATCATGACCTGAGGCGAAGGCAGTCGCTTAACCAACTGAGCCACCCAGGCGCCCCTAACCTTAAATATTCTTGAAAGTACTCGCTAACTTGTCAAGCTGTTGTTGTTGAAATGTATTATCTAGATTATCCTTGTAGATGCCACTATCTCTTGCCAAGGCAACAAGAAATTTTCCAAAGTTTCAATGTATTTATAGGATTCATTCTTCTTCAATTGATTACTAAATAATTTTGGACTCTATAACTTCTATTTAAAATTTACTTCTTCCTCTCAATGGATTACTGATTTTGGTTTGGTCTAAAATTTTTTTTCTTCAAATTAACTTTTTTGTCACAATAATGTCTGTTGATTTCATATAGTAATATATACAAAATAATTTTATTGTATAACATGTATATAATTGTATATGTTATATTGTTAAGTATTTTCTTGAAGAAGAAAACTTCTATTTTGACAAGATTGATGAGAACTGACAAGTGTAGGTTTTCTACATCTGGGGATTGGAAGGATTTATTGACTCCATTGTCCACAGACCTCTGGTGCTTCATGCCGTAGGACATGCCAGATGAGTTGTCTCAGTGGGGGTAGGAGTGTTCCTGGAAGCCATTTCTACATCTAAATAGCAATAACTTAACTATGTATGAAAGTAATTCTGAAACCACACCTTTTAAAATGGTAAATCCTATCATCTTACTGCCCCACTGTCCCATTGGTCTTGTAGTAAAATTTAACCTCCCTACTGGACCCTACAAAACCTTGTATGTTTTTGGCTTTTCCCTTCTCTCCACACTCATCTTTAATATTCTCTTCTTGCTTTCTCTTGCCTACCCATACTGATCTCACATCAGTTTCTGAATTTTGCCAAACTTTGTTTTTCTTGCTCCAGGGCATTAAGATCTCTTCTGCTTACCTAGACAGTTTTTTCCTATTTTTCATGAGCTTTAAGGTGTACTTAGATGATCCCTTTCAGAGAGGCGTTCCTTCTTTAGTTACCCCATTCTAGACAAGCTTTCTTTGCCTTTAAACAGCATCCTTTGGAGGTTACCTGTCTTTTGAGTTCTCTAAATACTTCTTTCCAGATGCATACTTTCTCAATCAGCATCCCTTTCCTAATAGTCCATTTTATCCATTATATGCCTATGACATATGTGTGTATGTGTATAGGCCTATATATGTATGGGTATATATTTTCTGAATTTATAAAATAGCTGATACAGGTCCCACTCTGAATTCATCATTTCCCTCCCCAAATCTGTTCTGCCTGTTGCATTCCCTACCTTATGTTACTACCACCTACCTATTCACTTGTTTGCCCAAGTCAGAAACTTAGGAGTCACCTAGATTCTTCTCAGTCACCCCTTCCATCCAATCTGTCACTAAACTCTGTTGATTTCACTTCAGCAACATCTCTCAGATCTTCACTCCTTGTATGACCTAATTTCTTACTGGAGTTACTGCCAACGCCGCCAAGGAAGCCGTCTTGTAGCCGGTTTCATATTGCTCTACCTCCCTGCCCTCAAAATTCTGCCCTCCACACTGCTGTGAGGATGATCTTTCAAATATTCAAAAAGACAAACTATGAGAAATTTAAGACCTAATTCACGTCCACTTCTGTTTCATTTCCCCACTGTCGGTTCCCTAACTCCAGGTACTCCACACTAGACAAGTTATCTTTTCCTTCTGCACTTCCTCCTTTCCTCCCCCCCCCCCCCCCCCGCAAAATGCAACACACCAGCCCCGCACTGCTCTGAAAACGACTCGGACATCCCAGGCCTAAGGGGCGGGTTAGGCATCCCTGGTACTGTGCTCCCAACCTGAATCTGTTCCTGTATCACAGTCCGGAGCACGGCCCACTGAACTGTCAGCTAGCCCAGGCGCCCAGCGGGTTGTGAGTCCTGTGATGGCAGGACTCTGCTGTTCTCCCGGGTAGCACCCCCATGTCCCGCAGCCTGCTGCTGGCACCCACACGGTACGCTCCAAGAACAGAAAAAGCGTGAATGAAAGAAAAAAGGTGAAGACTGAAAATAAAGGATTCGGATGGTGTTGCCTCAGCTAATCTTGGTCTTTGGGGACAGCAGTCTGAGATAAAGTATTCCTGCCTGGTAACCGTTTCTGACAGCCGGAATCCTAGCACCGACCGGGGCTCCTGGGCGGCGCCGAGAGCCGCCCGCGCCGTCGGGGCCGGCCGGCAGCTCTGACGCGGGAGGCCCTCAGTCGTCAGCACACGGGCAGCCTGGCTCACAGAGGCTGCCTCGCTCACAGTCGCTGCCTGGAGCCCGCCGCTCGCCCTCCCCCTCTCGCGCAAGCAGGGCCGCCGACTGGGATCCCGAAGGCTGTCCATGCGGGCGCGCCCGGTACGGGGCGAGCCTGCCAGCACCTCGGAGAGGCCGCCCCCGGTCTCCTCCGCACGCAGCGCGGCTGCCAGAAAACCCGCGCCGTTCCCGCGCGCCCAGTACGCCCTGAGAAGCGCGCGCGCGACCGGCTTAACGGTTCTGGCCCCGCGGGCCTGCGGCCGCGCTCGAGGCCAGCCACCCGAGGCCCCGCCCCGCGCCCGCCTCGCGCCCCTCGTAGCCGCCGTCGGCCCCGCCCCCGCCCCCCCCGTCGCCCCCGGCCTGGAGCGGACTCGCGGCGGGAGCCGTTCCCCGACGGGCAGCGGGGCGCTGGGTCGCCGCGTTTGGGCTGAGCGCGGCGACGCTGCTGCCCCGAAATCCTCCCCGATCTTGAGGCGGTAGGTGGCTGGGGAGGATGAGCCGAACTGGGGGAGCAGAAGTCGGGCCCGGGTGTGAGGAGGCGGTGGGCGCCGTCTCTGAGGTCGGACGCCGGGGAAGTTGTGAGGGAGGGGGGCCCTGGGGTCGGGCGGGACAAATCAGGCAGGGGCCCCCATAGGGTCCCCAAGGTGGGTCGTAGAGTGTGAGGGAGCGAGCACGTCGAGAGGATAGGGTGGCGACTGGTGTGGGAACACCCGGCGAGGGGCAAGTGGCTGAGGGAGAGTTTCACTGCTGAGGGCTTATTAGAACAAAAACCAGAAACGCCTGATAAAAATAAGTACATAGCGCCCTCTGTCCCAGGACCTGGTCCTTTGTGGTGGAATGGTCTGAAGACGTTTTGTCCCCCATACCCTGGCACCGTCACTACTAATTTGGGGCAAGTTTTTTTTCCTTTGGCATTATTGTAGTTGTTTTTATTAATAAAATAAACAACAAATTAATAATTAATTAGATGAAATTATATTCAATAGAAAAGAAAACCCAGCAGGAAAAAAAAAAAGTGCCAAGAAACCATATATGGTTAATTCACAGAAGAAAATCAAATGGTTCATGGAAGTATATGAAGATACACCACATAATTGATATGTAAAGATACGCCATTAAAAAAACTGAGATGTAATAGACATACAACAGTTTCAGGTTTACAACATAATGATTCAATATTTGTGTCAAAAGCTTTTAATTGCTGGCAATTTAGGCAAAGTTACATATCCACAAGCACCCATTGTCTAGACAGTTTTATCCAACGTAAGTGTTAAATTTTGTTTCTATTGAAAGATACATCACGGAGAAAAACAATTTTTTTTTGACCAGTTGTAAAGAGAAGGCATGAAATGGAAAATATGGAACACTCTCTCCTTTTAAAACTTTTTGATAGCTTAAATTTTTCCTGAATGTGGCAGCGTGATTTGTGGAATATAAAATATCTTTTATCACCTAAGTCATAATTGGTTTATCTCTTACTCACCTGTATTTCCTTTATATTACTTTTCATCTATCAGTTTGTCAGTTTGTGCTGTTTACTTACGAGCAGCATGTGGCTTCAACGAATCCTAACTTTGTATAATATTTTGAAGTAGAAAATTGAGATTAAATCCTATCTGATTATCATATGGGAAATATATATGGGGTAGATGAAAACATGGTCTTTTCACTTCTCAGATTATTTAATTTTATATGATCTTATTTCTTTTTATTTTAATTCCAGTGTAGTTAACATGCAGTGTTATATTAGTTTCAGGTGTGTAATACAGTGAGTCAGCAATTCCATATAGTACTCATTGCTCATCAAGATAAGTGTGCTCTTAATCCCCTTCAGCTATTTCTCTCATCCCCTTCACTCACTTCTCTTCTGGTACCCATCTGTTTGTTCTCTATAGTTAAGAGTCTGGTTTTTTTTTTCACCCCCCCCCCTTTGTTCCTTTGTTTCTTAAATTCCACACAGTGAAATTTGTCTTTCTCTGACTGGCTTATTTGGCATAGCATTATACTCTAGATCCATCCATGTTCCAAGTGGCAGGATTTCATTCTTTTTTATGGCTTAATATTCCAATGTACCTTTATGTATGTGTATACATATAGATATATGTGCATATACATCTATAGATATATGTGTATATGTCCATTAATCTATATGATCTTTGTGTGTGTGTTCTAATAAAACTTTATTTTTTTTGTCGTTTCATACTTTTTTATATGATCTTTTTTAAAACATTTCTTTATTTGAGAGCGAGCGAGCACGCGTGCCTGTGTGTGTGGCGGGGAGGGGCAGAGAGAGAGGGAGAGAATTTCCAGCAGACTCCCCTCTGAGAGCAGAGCCTGACGCAGGGCTGATCGCGGGACCCTGAGATCCTGACCTGAGCTGAAATCAGGAGTCAGACGCTTAACCAGCTGAGCCACCCAGATGCCCCTGATCTTATTTCTTAATTGCAGCAAAACCCTCAGCACTTTCTAAAGAAATGTAGAATTTAAGTTGGAAATTTTAAGCATAGTATCTGGCTTCTAAATACAGTACATGGTATGTATGTTTCTTATGTTGTGACCCATGGTAAGTAAGGCACTGTACCATGTCTACAGAAGGAGGAAAGCATAGTAATCTTATAATTTATTTAGTATTCTAGAAAAATGATAAATTGAGGATATGGAAATTATTAGTAACTACCAATTTATCCAGCAAGTCTTTATATATAAATGTCCCTTTTCATAATTCATTAAAAAAATCCAATAAGCAATGTCCACATGGAATACTAGAGAGTCAGATGTCTTTTACTTACCAAACATGCAAGTTTAGAGACAAGGGCATGACTTTATAGTTAAATCCTCATTTTTACCAAATATATACTATGTGAACTTGAGAATCTCATTTTTCTGAGTGTTAGGTTTCACATCTATAAGGTTACTAATAATGATTTTCTACATATGGCTTAAAATTAAGTGAAATATTTATAAAGAATTTAGCATGTAATAGGACCTCAAAAAATGGAGTTTGAATTAAAAAAGAATAGTATATGTTGCATAGTAAGATTATGTCCCAATTGGTCAGTATCTGTGCTTATTATCCCATTGTACTGTATTTTAGAAAATTCTAGGCTAATTTATAATATCAGAATTGGTTGGTCTTTAGGATTCATAGTTTGATTTTTTTTTAAACAGAAAAGGAACCTAAGATATAGTTAAGTATTGCTAGATGTAGAATAGCAACTAAAGCTTCCTGACATGCGGACCAATATTCTATTTCTAGCAGTTGGCCTTTTAAGATGGTTTTTTAAATACGTGTAAACTTGGGAAAAAACTTTATTCAGTAGCTGTTTCTCAGCATGTATTAATAGAATGAAATTTTTGAGACATTGGATCAAAATGTTCTTTAAAAAATATTTATACTACAAGGCTGTATATTCATAGTTTAAAAGACAACTCCATGATTGGCCCACTACTTGTTACCCATTGTCGTTAGTAGGGTTCTTTTTCTTTTGCAAGTGTTGTCCTTTGTTAACAGTTGATACCATAAATGCCTACCCTAGGTAGTACTAGTAGCTTCAAAGGAAACTTTTGGAGCTCTACATTGGGTGAGTGAGGCAGGTTTTAGAGTTTAAGATTAAAGTTATTTTATATAATGATTTTGTTAGTTCAGTTAAGTCTTTATTATTTTTAACCTAAACTGAGAATTAGGCTTTGGTTTGTGGAGTCCTGTCCTTCATAGATTATGATCCTGTGGATCAGTTTTACAGTGATAATTACTATAAATACTTGCCTTTTCCGTTAATAACACTAACGTTAACATGATGTTAACAATAACGTAACATGATGCTTTTGTATACTGTGCATCCCAGACTTATTCCCTATAATATCAGTATCTCTATGCAAGTATAGTTTATTTAAAAAATATTAAATAAAATACTATCTGGCATTATCTTTTCTCATTTCCTTAACTGATTTGAATTTATATATCTGGAGCCCTTGCTTAGTTTTCCTACTATAAATTAAAAGGGTGGGTGATACTAAAAGATCTTTTATTTTTTGTTTATGTACTTGTGTTGCAAAACCATATAATAGTTCTGTAACTCCCCAACTCTTGAAAATCCCTAGTTTAAATACTGTGGATTTGCACTGCTCAGCAACTGGAAAGGACTTTACAACCTATCAACTCAATTTCAGCTGAGCAATGAAAAACAAGAAAGTGTGTGCCAAAGTACTCTATTGTATTCTGATTCATTAGTTTCATATGGGAAACAGGATGGAAAGTTACTACATACTAGTATTAGGGTTCTAATTATGTCTAGGATAAACATTAAATAACACAATATTAGATTGCTTTTTGGTCCTTATTTAAAATTTTTCCTTCTGCATAGAACATATTCAATATTTGAAGTATTTTTTTTGCTACGTATGCTTATAACTTTTTTTTCTTATTATATTAAAGTTGTATTGCCAACAAGTACAGACCGCATTAGTTTTTTAGAAGGTTGTTAATAGCCATGTTGAAATACCAGTTAAGAGACACATTACATAAGTTCGATAATTAATTAATTAACTGGCTGGCTTATCTCCAAACTTTAAGAAAAAGTAACTATTTTGTGCTTAGTTATCAGTGCTAACTTTGAGGGGTTGTTTATAAATTTATGATTTTAACATCTGAATTGTGTCCAGAGGCATTTTTTAAATAGATGAAAGCATGTCTTTGGAGCTAAAAGGGTTATTAACCCTATTCTTTACTTTGGGAAACAGTCATTTAGGGTAATGATCTGCTTAAAATCATATGGTTACAACTGCTTTTGGATGAGCAGATACAAAGTCAGATAGAATTTTACTTTAGGCTTTGTTTTAATAGGCACCATAATTTGGAAATCTGTGTCCTATTCAGGCATCAGAAGGTTTTAGTTATATTTAAGAGGTATTTAAATTTATAGGTTTATTTAGTAAAACTAATTATGTTGCAGGTACTAGGACACAAAGATAAGTAAGATCTAGTTTTTTTAGCCTCAATTAACCAAGTCTAATCAAACAGGCATGTAATAGATTTACTGTGATACATCTTAGAATAATTAATAAATAAAATACAGTAAGGGCTAGTGGAAGAAGAAAGAAAGATAAGTTATTGTTATTATTATTTTACTGTCAACTATCTGTTAGGAACTAGAAAGCTTCAGGTGAACTACTTTATTTTCCATTACTGTTGAGACATGAGGATATTTTTTTCCAAGGAAGTAACAGGAACTTGACCTTGGTCTTGAAAGATGAATAGCGTTTTGGGAGAAGAGCAGCAGGGAGAGTGAAAGAACTCCAGAACATATAAATATATGGTGAAACAAAATAAGATTTATGAATTCAACAATCTGTTAAACACCCACAGTGTTCTAGGCACTGTGCTAGACACGGGAGATATACCTGTGTGAAAGAACTATAATTTAATGGTCAGATAATAGGTAATTGCAACTAGTGCAGTAAGTACCATATTGGAAGAGGATAGACAGAGGGGTGTTTTGTGAGCACATAAGGGTACTTAACCAGAACCTGTTCAATTCTGCCCGGGTGTGGGGTAGGAGAGAGGTTGGGCAAGATTCTTGATTCTTACTGGCCAGAAGCATGGACATGGGCATCCCATCACTTCCTTGATTCAGGACCTTGGGCAAGTTACCTAATTTCTCCAAGCCTTATCTGCAAAATTAGGATTATAAAAAAATAATAAAGCTAACATTATTAAGCTCTTATTACTATGTACCAGGCATATACATGTATCTTACTTAGTCTTCACATCAAACCTAGGATAGAGAGGCTGTTGTTTTCCATAGTTATATAACTAGGTGCTGGAACCATAATATGAACCCATGTAGGCCAAGCTGAGACCCAAACTCTAACTCTTAATTGTGCCTAATTAATAGAGTTATTCTGAATTTTAAATAATGTAACTTAGGTAAATGGTTTACTCTGCATGACACTTGGATGTCGGCTCCTATTTCTATTCTGAATAATCCAGGAGGATTATTCATTCAGGAGGAATTGAAGTTTTTAGAGCAGGTGTGTGTGTAAAGGGATCATAGTTTGGAGAGAAAGAGGTTATATTCACCCATTTGTTCAGCAAATGCTTGTGTTGCACCTACTTTGGATCCAGTCCAGGTACTGTGTTAGTTGCCAGGGAGAGTGTAAATAAAAATATTGTTCCTCACTTAAAGAATCTGCTCCTCACTTTTGTAAGTGTAAAAGACAAATCAGTCATTATAGTATAGTACAGTATTATCTAATGCCATGATGTAGGCATATTCACTGTGTCCCATGAACATAGGGAGAGAAGGGAGTATTTAGATCAGACTGAGTGATCAGGGAGATGAACTCAGTGCTACTGTGGAACTAAAAGAGTAGTGGTGGGAAAGAAGAAAATAGATTTGAGAAATATTTTGGAAGCAGAATGGACAGGAATTAGAGACTAATTATGGTATGGAGGCTCTTATTTAGATCTTATTTAACCAAAGGTGATCTGAGGGAGTTGAAGACTTTAAGGAACATCTTTGGAGTCAAAGTAATGAATTTGATTTTGGATATCTTGAATTTGAGGTGTCTGTGATAAAATGTAAATAGAAATATCTTAAAAAATAGAATTGGAATTTAAAAGAGAGGTAGATGCTAAATGTATAAATTAGGGTATATTTATCATGTAGATAGGTAGTTGAAATCATCAGAATAGTTGAGGTCAGGGAAGAGGGTCAAAGCCAAATTTGGAAGAATTCCTAAATTTAATTGGAGGAAAGAAGAGGAATAAGCCAAGGAAGTTAGAAGAGGTAGTCAAAGAAATAGGAAACAAACTAAAAGAAAAGTCAGGGAAGTTATGGGAGGAAAATATTTCAAAAAAGGGAATGTTCCATTGTGACAGATGGTATAAAGGGCTCTAAGGTTTCCACCTTAACTTATAAAATAGATTATCTTCAAATGAATGTGTGTGTGTGTGTATGTATATAAAGGCATCTTGATTATCTTGTTGAAAAGATACATTTTTCCTTCCTAAAGTATGGAACCTCAAGGTCTTTGTGATAATGGAAACCAAAAAATTGATTGGTAAACCGCTTCAACCAGCAAGACCTATTCGTCATCTGACTTCTCCCCCTGGTGAGTAATCTGGGGTATATATCTTTAAATATTAATTGTTTAGTGGCTAAGTAGTATATGAAAGGCTAAATAATATATGAAGTAATTGTTTATGGTAGGTAAGAAATAATGAAAACTAATGATCTTGTTTGTTTGAAGAATTTAAAAACCGAAGAAAAAGACTCTTAATAGTCTGTGAATCCATAGTGTACCAGACTAACAAAGGTAGGAAGAATGGCTCCTGCCTGAGAACAACTTTTTGTATTTTTTTTATGTCTCATTTTCATGGTTAACTGGCTTCTGCTTAGAATGATACTCTAAATACAAATTGTGCCCTGTGATTATGATCACTGCAGAGCAGTCATGCTGGAGAGAGAATTAGCCTTTAAAAAAAATTCCTAACAGCATATAAATGAATGAATAAATGAATGAATACAAACAAAACAACAGTTATAGATTAGGGCTATGCTAGGACATATAGTCTCATTTTTCAGGAAATTTAAACAAAAATTTCTAAAATTAAAGATTTTTTCTTTTGCCTATAAAACTATTATTTGGGACAAATTTTTGGAATACTTTTTCCTTAATTGGATTATTAACCCTTTATTTTTTTCATTGTTGCCAGAATGGCTTCTGTATTTTAACTTAGGTTTATATGTATATGTATTATATATCTCCTAAATATTAATATATATATCTCCTAAATATTAATATATAAATATGTCAGCATCCTATTAAAATACTCTTTAGTCCATGTGTTCAACTGAGTAACTGATTAGAAAAGGGAAAAAAAATAGCTCTTTTATTGGGTGCAAAGATGAAGCAGAAAAGATAGAAATGGCACCAGTTCCTCAGTCTTCAATTTGTTCTCCCATCCTTGGTTCTTACAAGGAAGAGTGTCTCTACTTTGGTCATGTTTCCTCTGAAGATGGCTATGACTTAAGACAGACAAATGAAATTAGGGATCTTCTGGACCATAGCTTTAGCAGTGTTGATTCCATCTCCTTCTGGTGTGCTGAAGAAGCAGTAGTTTGGGGTCAGGACTCAGCTTTTCTCCTAAAGGGAAGGGTATAAAGCCATTGGCAGCAGCTCCTTTCTGTGACCAGCCTTTTTACAGCACCCCTCACTCCCTTATCTGTACAGATTCAGTTTTTCATTGATCCTTTCCTTCCAAGTCTGTTATAGGGGTTAAAGGTAGTGGGCCCATCTCTCATTTAATTATATCCTTTTAAGATCCAGAGATAAGTAGTTTTATTAGGTAGAAAGGCTTAGTAAATCAGAAACTAATTTTGGCCTTTTTCAGTATACTTCTGTACTCCCTGGCTAGCTCACATCCCCAGAGAATTCTACTTTTCTTCAAGACCCAGATAGAATTATTTACTTTTTTTTTTTTTTAAGACTTTATTTATTTATTTATTTGAGAGCGAGAGTTAGAGAAAGACCAAGCTCGAGCTGGGCTTGAGCAGGGTGGAGGGGCAGAGGGAGAGAATCTCAAGTAGATTCTGCACTGATCGTGGAGCCCAATGCAGGGCTTGATCTCACGACCCATGAGATTGTGACCTGAGCCAAAACCAGGAGCTGGACACTGAACCAACTGAGCCACCCCGGCGCCCCAGAATTATTTCCTTTTGTGAAGCTTTCCTCTATATCACAAAGCTCAGTCTGCTCTCCCCTAGTATCTTCTCTGTAGCCCTCATATAACTTGTTTTTCTTATAGCAATTGTTTATGAGCTTGTCTTTTAAAATAGACCATGAACTCTTTTATCTCTGAACTCTTTTCACACTTACAACCCGTCCCCTAACACAGTGGCTGACATTTCATAGTGTTTAATAAATATTTGTTAAGTAAATGAATTATCAGAAAACAATTCAAAACAGTACCTAGAATATCCTGGATACCTAAGGTTTTTGGGTGGTTGTATATCACTTATTGAAGTAATGGGTATTTAAAGTATTTTTCTTTTTTTCCCTTCTAACAGGAGCAGTATTCCCTTTCAACTTTCAAAATGAATATTCATGCAACACTCAGTGCTTACAAAGTGGAGTTAGCAGAGTAAGTCCTAGAAATTATAATAAAATGAAGTATTGCAGACTGGAAAGTAACATTTGTTAGATGGTGCTGTGCCAGGTACCATGCTAGGTACTTTATATACTTTTTAAAAAGTTATGATATATTTCAATAATATACTAAAGGAAATTATACCTGTTGCCCAGCATTTTCAAATCTAAACATTTTGCTGTATTTTAGAAAATGTTAAAGAGGGGTACCTGGGTGGCTCAATTGGTTAAGCATCCAACTCTTGATTTCAGCTCAGGTTATGATCTCAGGTTTGTGAGATAAGATTCTCTCTCTTCCTTTCCCTCTGCCCCTCCCCCGCCTAAAAATGTTAAAGAAGAAACCTAACATATATTTCAAAACCCCTATTTATCCCTCCACTAACCCATCTTCTCCTCACCCTCCTCTTCTCACCCGTATGTAGGTATATGAGAATAGCGTTCATTGTGCAGTGGAATCCTATTTCCCGCCATCCCCAAGTATTGCATTAAATGTGCGCAGTAAGGCTTGTCCCAGAGATGGGCCCAGAGAGGTGGTGGCTGGCTTGAGGGGCACATAGCCACATGCCAAGGTTCTGATAGGAAGATGAGCTTGAGCCCCAGCCCTGCCATTTCCCAGCCCTGTGACCTTACATGAGTGATTTCTTTCACTTCTCAAAGCCTCAGTTTCCTCACCTGAAAATGGGGCTAATAGCTGTCTTTCTCACAGGTAAGTGTGAGGAGGAGGCAGCAGTGAGCTAATGCTTCCAAAGTCTTAGCACTGTGTCTGGCATGTAGTAAGTGCTCGTTCCATACATGCAACAGTTTTCCTGGCTGTGCCTGTGGACTGTGCCCCTCCACCATCCCATTTTCTTCTCACCCTCCTCCTTACCCTCCTCCAATTATTTTCAATTTGTTATTGTTTCTATGAATGTATTAGTACTTTTGCTACAACAAATAGAATTGTTTCAACTGTTTTATAATTTTATATAAATAGTATTATACCCACATGTGTTTTTGTCGTTCTTTTTGCATTTAGGTTTATATTTTAAAATTTCTAACATAATTTTTTGACTAAGTAAAATCATCAAAATTGAAAATTGAAAACATATAAAATGGCATTTAGTGAAAAATTTCCCTGCAATCTCTATCCCCTAGTCACCAGCTTTCTCTGATCAGAACTAACCATTGTACCAGTTTCTCACCTAGATCCTTCCAGAAATAGATTATGCATGCACAAGCATAAGTATATTCATAATAAATAGAATGTTAGGCAACTTTTAAAATGAATAAACCTGTTCTATATGTGCTGATACAAAAAAATCTATATATATTAATATGCCATATTTTTTGTTCCATTTTCTATTGGTGGGCTTGGCACTTGTTTCTATTTTATAATAAATGCTATGCACATCCATCCATATGTTGTATTTTATACATGTTTGGGAGGTTCTCTGCATTATAAGACTGAAGTAGAAGTACTATGTTAACAGGTAATCTTATCTTCAATGTTACTATTTACTGCTAAATTACTCTCCAAAGTGATTTGTATGAGCAATGAAGGAGAGGTCTGATTTTTCTACATCCTTGCCTTGTTATTGTCAGACTTCAAGATTTTGTCTTGTTTAATGGATAAGAACTCATGTATTTTTTTTTAAAGATTTTTATTTATTTATTTGAGAGAGAGAGAGCAAGCGAACATGAGTGGGGGGAGGGGGAGAGAGAGAAACAGTTTCCCTGCTGAGCAGGGAGCTCCACATGGGGCTCGATCCCAGGACCCTAATATCATGACCTGAGCTGAAGGCAAACACTTAACTGACTGAGACACCCAGGCACCCCTGAGAAATATCTTTCTGTTGGTTTTAGTTTTTAATTTTCTATTATTTGTGAAGTGGGGCATCTTTTCATGTTTAACTTGGCCATTTGGATTTTCTCTTTTTCTGAATTGCCAATTCATATCATTTGCCCATTTTTCTTGGGTTGTCTTTTTCTTTTTGGTTTATATGCCTTTAAACTGTATTTTGGATTTTAATTATTTTTCTTTTATGCAGAGCAAATATTTTCTTTCCTGGGAATATGGTTTATGAGAGAATTGTTTCTTTTTTGTGATGTTTTTGTTCAGAAGTTTTAAATCTTTTTTTTAAAATTTTTTTTTTAAAAGATTTTATTTATTTGAGAGAGAGAATGAGAGACAGCACAAGAGGGAAGAGGGTCAGAGGGAGAAGCAGACCCCCCACTGAGCAGGGAGCCCGATGTGGGACTCGATCCCGGGACTCCAGGATCATGACCTGAGCCGAAGGCAGTCGCTTAACCAGCTGAGCCACCCAGGCGCCCCAGAAGTTTTAAATCTTAATGTAGTCATATTATCAGTGTTTTTCTTTATGATTTCACTTTTTATGTGATTGTGAAGTCTAACCATTGTTAACATCAAAAGATATTTTCCTACATACGTGTTCAGGTACAGTCTACCTGAAATTGATTTTTTTATAAGATATGAGATAGAAATCTAATTTTTTAAATGTAGATGACCAATTCTCAAGTATAATTCATTGAATAACCTATTATTTCCATAAAGATTTATGACATCTTTATTGTATAGTAAGTTTTCATATACATAAGGTCTTTCTCTGGGCTCTATTCTGTTCCATTGATCTAATTGCATGTCTCTGTGTCAGTACCATGATATCTTAATTACTCTTGCTTTATATTAATTTTTAATAAGTCGTTGTAGTGTTTTGTTTTATTCTATCAGCTAGCATGCCCCCTTAATACAATAGTAATGTTTATAACTCTTTTGGAACCATTGACCTTCTTCAAAAAACTTTATATGTAAAAAAGTATATTAACATTGCAGATTTTATAGAGGAAAACCAAATCATATAATTAAATTTATTCCTAAACTTAAACTTTTGTCTGCTGCTTCAGTTAAAAGCTACCAGAACTTATGTCAGAGGTGCCACATACATGCTGGGTACTTTTTACTAACTATATATTTTTTAAGCCAACTTTATTAAGGTATAATTTACAGTGAAATGAACCCATTTGTTCAATGAGTTTTGACAAATATTTACTCTACGTAACCAACCCCACAATGAAGATATAGAACATTTTTATCTTCCCCCAAAGTGCCCTTATATCTCTTTGCAGATCATTCGTGCTTCCACTAACCCCTAATGCTCCCTCCTGCTCCAGGCATCCACTGATCTGCTTTCTTTAATAGTAAATTAGTTCTGACTATTCTAGAATGTCATGTAAATGAAATATACGTATTGGATATAATGAATAATGCTGCTCTGGGTGATTATGTTCAAGTTTGTGTGTGGACATACACCCAGTACACAGGAATGGGATTGATGGGTTTTATGAGGAGTTTAACTTATAAGAAACTGCCAAAATGTTTTTCAAAGTGGTTGTGCTCTTATATTCCCACCAGTAGTATGTGCCAGTTCCAATAGCTTCATAGGCTACCAATTTTTAGCCATTTTAGTATGTGTTAGTATCTAATTGTATTTTAAATTTGCATTTTCTTACTGATTAATGAGATTGAGCATCTTATGAGCTTATGTTCCATTTGTATTTTTCTTTTTTTTTTTTTTGTGAAGTGTCTGTTCAAATATTTTGCATATATTTGATATTTGGGTTGTTTGCCTTGTTTGGGTTGTTTGATTCTGGGTTGTTTGGTTCATTGAATTGTGAGAGTATTGAAAATCAGTATACATGTGTGAGTTTATTTCTAAACTCTATTATGCTCTATTGATTTATATGTCTTTTTCCCCCATCTTTATTGAGATACAATTGACATGTAACTAAGTTTAAGATATGATGTGTGATGATTTGATACATTTATATGTTGCAAAATGTTTACCACATTGAGTTTAGTTAAAATATTCTTCATTTTACATAATTACCATTTGTTGTTGTTACAGAGAGAACATTTAAGATTTATTTTCTTAACAACTTTCAGGTATACAATACAGTATTGTTAACTATATTCACCACACTACATAGGTACTCCTATGTGTCCATCTTTTTGTCAACATCACATTTTACAGACTGCTGTAGCTTTATGATAAGTCTTGATATAAGATAGTGAAAGTTCACTAACTTTAGTCTTTTTCAAATTTGTCTCAGTTGTCTAGGTCTTTTGCATTTCCATATAAGTTTTAAATGAGCTTGTCAATTTCTACAAAAAAGTCTACTGGAATTTTGATTGAGTCTAAAGATTAATTTGAGAAGAATTAACATCTTAACAATATTGAGTCTTCTGATTCGTGAACACAGCATATCTTTCCTTTTTTTTTGTATTTTCTAGCATAGGGGTCCTGAACATCTTTTGCCAAATTTATAAGCATTTCATATTTTTTGATACTATTATAAATGGTACTTTTTGTAAATTTCAAATTCCACATGCTGGCTGGTAGGATACATAAATAGTATTGGTTTTTGTATATCGATCTTGTTAAATTCACTTATTAGATCTGTTTTCCCTCCCATTCATGTTCTATTATGGGAATAATTTTACTGTAGCTAGTACTATAAATACATAATACATTGCTGTTATTTTTGCTTTCACATGTTATCTTTTAAAATAACTTAAGAAATAAAAGAATGAGTTTTATTTCACCTTTATTTACTCCATTTCCAGTGCTCTTAATTTCTTTGTATAAATTCATGTTTCTGTTTGATATTATCTTCCCTCTGCTGAATAACTTCTTTTAACCTCTGTTTTTTATTATTACCTCATAAAAAATACTTGAAAACTTTGACTTAAAACAATAGCTTCTTACTCTTTTCCATGGCTCTGTGGGTTGACTGAGCTCAGGTGGCCTTTTTCTAAGTTTAGTAATGTGGCTGCAGTCAGGTAGCATCTAGGATTGGAGTCATTTAAAGTCTTGACTGCATGGCCAGATGGCTTACTTACATGGCTGACAGTTGATGCTGGCTATTGGCTTATGATTCAGCTGCTTCAGTGGAATGGAAGGAACACCTACAAATGGCCTTTCCAAGTGGCTGTGGCTT